TAATTAGGCATGTGGTAATTTTTTTATCAGCCTAGGCATATGGTTATATGGTAGCTGAATCCTAAATGCAAGCAGAAAATAACAAGATTCAAGAAAAGATTCACAAATCAGAAAAACAAATGACTTACAGATTCAGTATGACCAGTCAAATAATGAACTAAGATACCATCAGTAGCATTCCATACACACATTCCGCAATCTGCATTGTGGTAAGATATTATTTGGTCAAATTTATGCACCTCGAAATCTAACTAAAAAGCATAATGGCAGTAGCACAATGGCAAATATGTTAATAAGCAACATCTAGGATTAAGCACCCAAACACTGGTGAGCATTAGAAAACCATTTCTTTTGATCAGATTGTCACTTTGCCATAGTAGAAATGCCAAGAAAAAAATATACAAAACGATAAAGGTCTTAGCAGAGACATAAAAACCAACACATGAAATGCATGCAAAGGCAAAAGTTGAGCAACATCTGCCATAAAGTATAGGTCTTTGTTAATTAGGCATGTGGTAATTTTTTTATCAGCCTAGGCATATGGTTATATGATAGCTGAATCCTAAATGCAAGCAGAAAATAACAAGATTCAAGAAAAGATTCACAAATCAGGAAAACAAATGACTTACAGATTCAGTATGACCAGTCGAACAATGAACTAAGCTAGCATCAGTAGCATTCCATACACATATTCTGCAATCTGCATCTGCATTGTGGTAAGATATTATTTGGTCAAATTTATGCACCTCAAAATCTTATTAAAAAGCATAATGACAGTAGCACAATGGCAAATATGTTAATAAGCAACATCTAGGATTAAGCACCCAAACACTGCTACCTCTTACTGCAAAGAAGTTAAAAAAATAAAAATAAAAAAAGCGCTACTAATTACAATGGTGAGCATTAGAAAACCATTTCTTTTGATCAGATTGTCACTTTGCCATAGTAGAAATGCCAAGAAAAAATGTACACAATGATAAAGGCCTTAGCAGAGACATAAAAACCAACACATGAAATGCATGCAAAGGCAAAAGTTGAGCAACATCTGCCATAAAGTATAGGTCTTTGTTAATTAAAGCAAATGGAATCATAAATTATTGTTTCAGTGGATTTTTCTTTTCAATTCTTTTTTTTTTTTTTTAATCTTTTTATTTTTTGATGGTAGGTTGGTGAGTGGGAAGTAGGGGAATTTATTGATTAAAGCAAATGGAATCATAAATTATTGTTTCAGTGGATTTTTCTTTTCAATTCTTTTTTTTTTTTAATCTTTTTATTTTTTGATGGTAGGTTGGTAAGTGGGAAGTAGGGGAATTTATTGTTTC